AGTTAACCGAATTGGCCACCCTTAGTATATATTCTCTCTTCTTTCCCTAATTTTGTTTATTTTGTTTCTCTCTGAAGGAATGATGCATTTGATGGACCATGAGAAGGTGAGCGAAGAACTGGAGACGCTAATGGACACAGAAGGTCTCGATGTCCAATTAAGCTACGATGGTCTTCGTGTACCAATCTCAATTTAACTCGGTTTATTCTTTTTCCCCCGGTATAACCGGTTCATACCTTAAGTAAAAGTATTCATTTGTTGTAATGTCTTGTATTTGGTTCACAAAATTCAACCAATAGATTTTTCACTGTAAGCGATTTGCATTAATAACTTTTGGTTTTCGCAAACCGGTTTGGTTAATTGAATACATGTGTCCTGGTTCGTGTGGGGGACCACCAAAACGGTAACGTTTTGATAATGGCAAGAGGAAGACCAGAAACGGAAGACACGGGAACGGATGTGTTCTTAAGAGCGTCTGCCAAGTCGGCGACCAAATTGCATGGCTCTGTTCTGGTTACTGTCCAATTAAATCTTAGCACGTGTCCTTGTCGGTCCAGTACGGTCCACCTCGACCTGTCGTTTTCACGCGTGTCTATTACCGAAGGTGACATGAGAGGGATTCCCTGAAAATTATAATATATCCTTCTGAGTTTTTAAGTATTTTGAAAATTCAAAATTGTGATCATGCATGTAGTTATATATATTCCCCGTCGATAAACTCAAATCTTATTTTCTTCTTGTCTTAGTGTTAATTGTAATTCTTGTTGTTAGATGGTGACACTGGTGTAAAAAAGAGAGTTATAAATTAGAGTTTCGCTGTATTATAGTTATACATTAACTTCTTTAGTTAAAAATAATTGAGGTTTATGGGCGTTGTGCATGTTACTAGTTAGTAAGTGGTAGAAAACGACGTCGGCGAAAATAAAAACTATAAGGAAAGTTAGGTGCGGATGTTAAAGAAATTAAATTACTTTTTATGGGGTTAATCATTAAGTATTGTATTTAATTTAATTTGTTGAATAGAACTAGATAGGTCCATGTGTTAGCTCAATCATTTTCATATACAAAGGGGCCAAGGGCCCTACTATTTCCCTCATATATGCTCAGCTCGTGAACTCGCTGTGACTAATTGACTCTGTACACTGTAACTCACGAACCCAATTTCGAATTTCTTTGTTAAAAAATGATCAATATTACAATTTTTTTCATCTCATTGTATGGGAAATTAGTTACCAAGAAGACCTTTACTTCGTAAGCAAATAATTAATCAAAATCAGACCCCATTGTTTTTAGTTGAATCAAATCTGTCCTTTATCATATAAAAATAGTCATTATAGTCATTGAAACTTGTTAACACTTTTGCCACACAAAAAAAAAACTTGTTAACACATGCATGTTTTCTAGTGATCTTGAAAATGTTATTTAAGTGGTGTCAGAATATGATATTTGCTATATAATCTAAGCCATGCATAGCTGACATGGAGACAGAGACGTATAATCTTCTTTATAGACCCATAATTTCAGGACAGTTGAATAAATTAATATATACATGCCTTTCCAAGTTTCATCTAGATTAATATTTTCTTTTCATGTCAGCCTTGTTTAAAAAAAAAAAAAATTCAGCCTTGTTGTTTTGTTTCTCGTTTACTGAAAATGGACGATGAGAAGTTCATTTTTCAACATAATTATGAAAATCCTCCGTATGTGTGACTGTGAACGGAGGATTTAATATAAACTAGTATATGACCCCGAGATTGTGTGATCTACGAGGCCCATTAGTCATTATTATCAACTAATTAGGTTATATTCAAATTTAAAACAAACATTTCTACTTTTATAACACATCTAAATAATTAATGGGTTTCTTATAAAGTTAGTTCAATGTGTGGGGTGAGCTGGTGTTTCATATTGGGAAGAGGATCGGACAAAAATCACATTAAGAAAAAGCTAAATAATTGCGGAATAAAACAAGAACAAGACAAAAAGACGAAACATTATATATTGTTCATTTTTATAAAAACATCTTTTCAAACAATCCAATTAATCTGTTGATGAAACATGCTCTCTATGTGGTGATTCAGATTACCTTTTAAATGTAAGAATTACCACAAACTTTGGTTTAGCAAAATAAAATAGGTAAATGCTTTTGGCAGTTTATATTTAAATTAAAAACGCAATTAACTATATGACGGCGGCCAAAGTGCATGTAATGAAATTTTCTAGCTAGCACCATATAAGAATTTTTTTTGAACAAGAGCACATTAATTTCATAGTATTTATTATTGCCAATTTATTAGTAGTTTTTATAAACTATAAATGTAATATTCTGGATGCATGGGTGTCACCAAATTGAATGACAGTATATGACTCTCTCGAGTGGACATTTATGAATTTGTCTATTTAGTTA